CCCCCAGCACCACCAGTGCCCCCCCACTGCCCCCGCGGAACATCGGCAAAGGTATGAGACAGTGCGGGGTCCCGCGCGGATGCAGGGGGGCTGGGGAAGTGCTTCTGCTTTGCCCCCCAAAGGGACCCCTTGCACTCAGGATGCCCAGTGGTGGTGTGGGGGGTCTTGGCTCCTCGTCCTGGGCAGCCCACGGTGGACGGGTCAGTGCTTGGGGCTGCGTGGAGCCACTTCCTGCAGGGCTTTTTCTTGTCCCCTTTCGTGGGCACTCCTGTGCCTCCGTTCCCTTCCCGATTCCTCCCTGCCCGCATCCGAGCCAGGCTGTGGCACCTGCAGCTCTTCCCTGTCTCTGTTCCCGGGAAATGAAGGATGAAAAGGACGAATTTGCAGGCTGGTGCTCTGCGTGATTGTAAAGCTCCCAGTCCTCCGTGCTAAAGCGTGCCGTGCTCAGCCCTGCGTGGCTGGCTCAGCAGGGGATGCTTTTGTTTTTGTAAATGTGGAATCGGTAGCCCCTCGGCTGAGCATGCGTCCCAGCGGAAGGGTCCCAGTGGAAGGCTGCCAGCCGGCTGCTGTGCTCCTTGAAGGCAGGCCCAGCCAGTGGCTGCTCAGCCCGGGCTGGGGCCCTCGGGGCTTCCCGTGGGAAGAAGGGGCTGCTTGGGCCTTGTTGGACTTGGCCGAGTGGACAAACGTCCCCACTGAGTGTGGTATTGGGGGGCTTCTGCTGACTGTGTGTGTCACGTGAGGGAAGAGTTTATTTTGTTCTGTTGGGTCATAGAAAAGGAGTAGAAAAGTCCATTTCTTGGTTTCCTGCAGCTTTGCTGATGGGCTTTGACCCCCTTCCTTCCATTCTCTCTGCCACTCTGGCCTTCAGCTTTTCTCTGGGCAATGTGGACTGTGCCCCTTACCTGCTTCCCCTGGACGTCGCCCCCCACTCTCCATCTGGTCCACACTTGGTCTAAGCTGAGGGTCCCGTACCATGAATAAATAGAAAGGGAGGTGACGTGGTCAGCCTTGCACTTCAGGTCAGGCCCCTCTGGATGGGCCTGGCCTGGCCTTCCCTGTGGACACGCGCAGCCTGTGATGGGGCTCCCCCCACACACACCTCAGCGGCCATGCCCGGTGCAGGAAAGCGGAGTCGTGTGAGTCAGCGGGAGGACCCAGGCCCAGGCGTGCTGTCTCTGTGGGTCAGCTGAACCTGTGCAGTGTCATCCATGCCACGCCTGTCTCAGGAGGCCCGTGGAGGGACCCTCCCCAGCTGCACAGTGCACATGGTGTCCGCCCCAGGCCAGGTGGGGACAGCGCTCCTCATGTGGCAGGATTCCCGTGGCCCCTGGAAGACTTACTAGAAGGGCAGAGAAGAGCGGGAACTCTGTAAATCCTGAAGGCAATGCTAAGGACATGTTGCTGGGGTTTTTTATCTCCTTCTTTACATAATATTTGACCTTGGGCCAGCAGGTGGCATGGTGGTTAAGAAGCTGGACTCCCACATGGCTGACCGTGGTTCAAGTCTCAGGCCTGGTGGCTTGCTTTCTCACTTTCTCTCTCTCTCTCTCTCTTTCTCTCTCTCTCTTTCTCTCTCTCTGTTTCTCTATCTCTCCCTGGTTAAATTAAAAAATAATAGTAAATACAATTCAGTAAAATAATTTTAAAAAATAAGTTTACATCTGAGAAATACTGGGTTGTCAGAAAAGTCATGACACATTTTTACATAGAAAAATACATCATGACTTTTCCAACAGCCCAGCGAAAGCAATTTAAACTTCACCATCAGACTAAGAAAACCAGCTGGGAACGTCCCCTGAAGCACGTTTGGTTGGGTGTATTTCAGTTTTTATCTTGCAAAAACCAAAGATAAAAATGAAAAGGTTCCGGGCTTCAGGGTCCTGTGTGCTGTTCTAGAAAGGTCGTGTTGACCATCTACAAGGGAGAGGGTGAATAACAGTGTTTTGTTTCTGTTTTTGTTCTGTGTGTGTGCGTGCGTGCGCATGTGTGCGTGCGTGTGGGTTCAGTTCAGACAGCCTGCCCAGCTAACACCCCGTGGAAGACAAACCCCGTAGGTGTGGACGCTGTGAGCAGGCAGCGGTCCTCGTCTGATCCGCCAGCTGTCCACCCACCGCTGCCCCCTCTCCGCGTGGCATCGACCAGTACGTTTTTCCTTTCTCCTTTCTTGCCCCAGTGGGCTTTGCAGACCTGGATGACTGGGGGGTGCATCCGGCAGCCATGGGGAGAGCTGCAGAGCCAAAGTCCTGTGGCCAGACCCAAGCCCAAGTGGCCACCTAGAGCCCCTCAGACGGCCTCAGCCGCCCAGCCCCCTGCCTGGCGCAGACTCCGGCCTGGCCCCAGCCCCACCCCCCAGTGGCCTGCCGCTCTCTGCCCTGACCGACCGAGCATGTGAGCAGCGGGTGCTCCTTTGCACACCACCCCAGGCATTTTCTTAGGCCATTCGGGGATTTTCAGTATCAAGGGACAGCCTTTTGAACCATCATCCGGCATGTGTGTTTTTAGGGTCAGCCTCGGGTTCAAAGTCCCCCGAATCTCAGAGGGAGGCTGCAGGAGGGGTTTTTCTGAGCAGGGAGAGCCAGACCGTGTTTGCCTGGACAGGTAGTGGGAGCCCAGGTGCTGCCTCACCCCTTCCGGCTCTGCATCCACTCCAGAAGGGAGATGTTCAGCACCTCGGGGGGTGGGGGGTCATTGCAGAAGAAACACCGAGAGCACTTGGAGGCCAAGGTAATGGGACTCCTCAAGACAGGGCAGAATAGAAAGCAGCTTGGAGGCCAGCTGGTGGCATGGTGGTTAAGGCACTGGACTCCCACATGGCCAACTCCACGGTTCAAGTCCCAGACCCGGTGACCTGAAAGACATGCCTGGCACATGTGTCCCCAAAATCCTGATAGGAGACTGGAAGAGAAGGGATTATAGTGTGGTCATCCCCCCGGGGGGGATTTCTCACTTTCTCTCTATCTCTGTTTCTCTCTCTCCAGCGAGCACACATGCCCTATAGCAAAATCTAAAAAATAAAATGAAAAGCAGCTTGTCCCAGCAATAGTAAGTGCCCCGTGAGTGACAATGGGGACAGCATGTCTGGGAGAGTCCAGCCGGACACATCTGAGCACACAGCCAGGGGACGCAGTGGGCCAGATGTGGCTCCCGTCTCCACCAGTGTCCTGGGGCTAGATCTATGTGCCAGACTTCTCCTTTAAAGCAGAAAAGGAAACAAGACTGGAAAGAACTCTGAACTGGGTCCCTTCCTGTGGTCAGCGAGGGCCTGGTTCCCGCTGGCCCGTCCTAGCAGAGAGGAGCCCGAAGCCTGGGGGCAGCTCCCACCCCACCGCAGTCTCTCCTTTACCAGGCAGCAGGGGACGGGAGACAGACGTGGACAGAGGACGGGGAGATGATGGGCCCGAGCCCTCCTCTGTCACTCCCGGACACTCTGTCCCCTCTCAGCCAGCTCCTCATAGGTGGAGATGGCTCATAATCAAGTCCTCTGACCGAGGAGCCCTGTCCACACCCCAGTGTTTGCTGACTCCCCCGGGGCCCCCTGCTCCGTCACCTGGCCAGGTGGGCAGGCCTGTTTCCTACTGGGTGATGGACCAGCAAAGCAGATGGACTGGCCTGGGAGGCCCAGCCCAGGGCCGATACCAGAGCTGGGCCTGGCCTCTGGGCCATTTCTTAGAGCTGAAGACAGACACCTGTTGGGTCCCCGCGGGGACTCCAGCTAACACCCAGGCTGATAGGAGAACGTGGTCCTCACTCGCAGCTTCCTCGTTAGTGTGGGCAGGCCCCGTCCCTCCTGCTAATACTGTTCTGTACAAACCAGCGAGGAGACAGCCGCGGGTTTGTCTGAGGAACTAGCCATAGAGAAAAGACGCGTGTGGCATGTGTGGGCCGGCCCAGGGGGCTGACGCTCTGCGTTTCTCTGTTCTCTCTCCGCAGACCCCCTGACTCCCACACCGCCCCCTCCTGTAGCCAAGACGCCCAGCGTGATCGAAGCCTTGAGCCAGCCGAGCAAGCCCGCCCAGCCTGGGGTATCGCAGAGCAAGCCCCCACCCCTGCCGCCCCAGCCGCCCAGCCGCCTCCCGCAGAAGAAGCCTGCCCCCGGGTAAACTGCTGTCCTGGCCGTCCTTGCTCCCTGTGCTCGGGGGTGGCCTCGCCCCTGCGCGGCCTCGCCCCTGCTGCCCCTTCCTCTGCTAAGGTTCCTCCAAGAGTCCCAGCGTCTCAGAGACAGCCTTCAAGAATCTTTAAGCCAGCTCTGTGGGTTTCTCACAAACTAGATCTTTACTCCTCCATTTAGTGCAGACCCCGGGACTTGGGGCACCCCAGACCCAAGGCCTCCAGGTTCTGCCTTTTGCTCGCTCGCAAGGTTGTGGTGACACGGGCCTCTGGGGGAGGCATGCGCTTCCTCGCCGCATACACACTGCAGCCTGCAGGAGCTCCTCTCAGCACGGGTCGCCTCCCGTCCTCGGATCCGACTACCTCGCCATTTTTCCAGATACCGTCCTTTATTGTGAAGGGACATTTAGACGTGATGTGGGTGCTGATGAGGCGTCACTGTCCCAGACAGGCCCCCCGAGTGTTCGGAGATGGGGAAGGCGTGCACCACACGTGTGCACAGACCCAGAGCCGTGCTCTACCTTCTGTGCTGAAGTCCACGCGTTCACACCGGTGCCCAGTTTCAGTTCTAGTCACCACTGCGAAGCTCGGTGACCCGTGACGTCCCATTTTGTCCCACTCACGGACGGTGGGGGTAGCTTGCCTTTGCTTCATGGCACTAGGGTCCTAGTGTAAAGTCCGGGTAGTAGGGCAAGTCGCGCTGGAAGTGGCTCCTGCTGGGGGTCCTTGCTGCTCCGCCACACGTCTGGTGCTGGTGCCTGCTGTCACGCGGGCCTGACAGAGCTGTTGGCCCAACACCTGCACTCACAGCCTCTCCTGGGGGCCCGACAGCTCACGACTTGGTGGCTCGGCCCACAAACGGCCTCCAGAGAGAGACTTGGCCGTGGAAGCTGGGACTTGTCAGGCAGCGGCGTGGCGGTGGGTGAGACTCTGGAGCTCACAGCAGAGGAGCCCGGACAGTGTTGTGCACTCACTGTGGGTCTGCTCTACTTTGCCCCTCTCAGCACGGGTCGCCTCCTGCCTTCTCAGTGAGAACGGAGGGAGAGAAGACGTGCTTTTTACTGGGTCTCGCTACGTCATAATCCTCGTGCCCCAGACTCCGCTTAGCTAGAACTACAGGCATGTACCACCATGCCCGGCCTGTTTACGGTGGAGTCGGAGCTAGCCGAGCCTCCCGCGTGGCCTCAGCCACCAGGCAGAGCTAGGCACGTCACTCCCTTTCTGACAGCGAGGACTCTGGCCACATAGTTACGTACCTGATCGAAACCCCTCATTCATTCGTTCACTTAGAGAGGTTTGTTGCTATAGGGCGCGTGCACTTGCTGTAGAGACAGCGATGGAGAGATGGAAAGTGAAAAATCACTCCCAAGGGTGCTGACTACGCTGCAATCCCTTCTCCATTAACCTCTCAGGATTCGGGGCACATGTGCACACGCGCCCAATGTGTTTCTCAAGCTGGTGTGTGGGATGCAGCCACCCAGACCACCACGTAGCTGGCCCACCTCTTCCCTGTTGAGAGTCGGCCAACCTCTCTAACCACAGACCTGGAATCCCAGTGGTTTAACCTTGTATCCCGGCCGCAAGGGGAAACCCAGGCTACTCCTTTCCTCTCACCCCACCGGCCTTGTCAAACCCTGGGCCCTGGTAACTTCGGAAGGGAAAGCAGGAGGGACAGCTTGGGGGTGTTGTCACTCGGGAACCAGAACCGGTACCTCGCTGCTGCCGAGAGGCCAAGGCTGGACGTGTAGGCCCTGCAGGACAGCCGCTCCCACAGCAGGGGATGGGCTCTTCTGTCTCCGCCCACCTCTCCCTGCCCCATGTCTGTGCCTGCTTGGTCTGCAGTTTGTAGAATCTTCTGAGAGATTTCCTAAATTTTATCTTCCAGGTCTTTTATGGAAGTTTTCATTTCTGCTCTCGTACAATTTTTAAGTTAAATTCTTTATGGCACCCTATTTCCGTTTTATGGAATCGTTTTCTTTGTTCTCCTCTCTCAGAAGATTAACGAAGGTTCTAGAGGGTGTTGGTTGTAGCTTTGGCTTTTCCGCACGGGGAGCCTCTTCCACATTGTCGGCCTCCACGTTAGAGGCTTCTCCCAGTAAGCAGGGTGTCGAGACGCGCACCCCGGGCATGCAGCTGCTGCGGCCTCACTGTGGGAAACGCAGGACTTGGGCCTTTGTTCTTGAACAACTCGGGTGCACAGAGGACAGTCAACCGGGATTTGGGGAGTAGAGAAATGGGTTGAGCTTGTACTTAGTCCCTCCTGTTTAAGCTGCTCGCCACCTGCATGCAGTGTCCCTATCTAGGTGCCCTCGGTTTTGTCCTCTCTAGG